GCAGTTGTATGAAGTTGTAACAGTTGTATCAAGTTGTAACAGTTGTATCAAGTTGTAGCAGTTGTATCAAGTTGTAACAGTTGTATCAAGTTGTAGCAGTTGTATCAAGTTGTATCAGTATGCGCACTGTATATCGTACATGAATCATACAACTACTTCGCTACGTTCACACCTGATATGACAAGCGACAGCACCGCACTCGCTTTTGCAACGCCAAGGCATCCATTACCACCATGGCGTGCAGAATCCATGATTCAATTTCAATGGTAACGTGATCCCTCTGCTGCGACTGGCGAGGACTCTGAAAGCACCAGGTGCTCCTGCGCGTCCTCTATCGTCAGAATATGATGGCTTCAGTGAATGCGATATCGAGGGCTTCAACCTCTAGCTGTCACCAGCCGTAATATGAGTGTATGTGGATTAAAGAACCAGCTACGCGCCTCGGCTGCGAAAGGAAAACCTCAACTGGACAGTCCCATGCGGAGACGTGTCTCCTTCCCACCAGGTGGCGCACCAGCTACGAGTAAATCGCCGAGGATCCGGAAGCTCGGCGACGCGGTGATGACGTAATGTCACGTGACGTGACGCTGAAGGTCACAGAGAGCATCTAGCATGATGGTCGCCTCTATTATACCATCGTTTGGTTATTTGTGCGAGAGCTGTGTGTTTTCCCTGTAAAGTGCCTTATATGGTACCTCGTCGAATAGCATAGACACGCTCGTATAGCAAGTATGACTGATGATAACTAGCAACAACAGCATGCAACTTTAATAATAATAGTAATAATAATAATAATAATAATAGCGTATTATATAAATAGCTATATTTAAGCATGATTTGGCGTGGTGATGACGCATCATGTGACGTAACGTGACCTTTGACCTGTGTAAAGCGGTGTACAATGTATAATGTACTATGTAATAGATTTTGTGTGTACGCGTATATGTACATGTATATATTTTTTATTGTTAATATCGTGAAATGAAGAAGTGCTAAATTACGACGTAATTTGCATTGCATTTTCTTCTTATTTTTGCACACACTCACCTAGACCACACTGGCATCCGAACACGCACACTCACCAA